AAGCAAGCTGATGGCACCGCGTGTTGCATATGCTGCTGAAATTTGACTGTTCTGATAAAAGCAAGATGCAAGACTCGAGATGCAAAGTCGTTTCTTTCACCTGACTGAGAGATGGCTAAGAATTCACTCAGTCTATCTCTGAAACATTTAAATAATAAATTTGAATCTGCGGTACCTTGATTTGCGTGATTCTTTCTTGGGGTCGATGTAATCGAACGCTCAACGCTTATTGAAAGTCGAATTGCTTATGTCGGTATTTATTTTATATCGCAACAAAACCATCATCATCGACGGAGGACCGTTTTGCCGCTCATAAAAATGTATCGGGCCACTGCGTTTACGAGCCTTTGTCCGAAATTCTAACGCAGCCGTTTAAGTTAATATTATTTCTGGTTGCTTGTCATTTTATATTCAGTCTATTTGGAACAAGCTAGACGTAGAGCGCGATAAAACAGCCACGTTACTCCAGTGCGAATAGGTGTTTGCTTGTGATTCCGATGGTGCCAGTAACTTCCATGGAGGGGAGTTCATTTGCTTATCGGCTGAAGTGGCACCCGCTTCTTAATCACTCTTTTATAATAATATAAATAATCCACTTCGTTGGAGAACCGTCTGATGGTTCATGACTGGACTTTCAATCCCGCCGTACTTCACTCGGCCGAGTATTTGTCTGCTTTGATCAATGTCCACATCATGCGACAAGGAAGAGAATTGGTTTGTAGGGAACAAGATTTATAGTAAGCCAAAACCATTCTTAGTGAAGTTTTTCCTTCTTAATTCACTAATTACCTAAACAGGATGATCTCTATGCTTCTAATGATTTTTCACTCGTGACTGTAATATATGTCGCCATGACAGCGTGCATAAATTTTCTACCAGCTAGCTACCTAACGCACGATGTGTGTCGGAGAACTGACTTTTTTCAACTGTTAACCCGAAACTATCGCGTTTGTATGCAGAACTATAAATCTTTTCATTTATTGTAGGGTTTCTTGATTAATCTCATGCGAAGTGTTTTCAGAACGTCTCGGTGGCGAGTCGGATGTCGCGAATGCCCTGGCGCAGATTGCGACGCTGGCGATCGGTTCTAAGGCAAGCGATATTAGTGATCGTTTCTTCATCCTCACATGGCCGTTTTCAGACTCAGACCGACGGAGTGACTTCATCTAAGGCTGCTAAGCGCAAAGATACCGAAAAGAGTGGGAAAGAAAAGAGAACAGTTAGAGAACAGGTATTTTGTTACAAACGGTTTCACGCTGTGATAGTCTGTTTTAAACTAAAGATAAGCTAGATAGCGTAATGCAGAGGAGGTGCTTCCAAATTTCAAAAAAATGAAAATTTCCTTACAGCTTTACACAAAATATCGAATTTATTGTGTGCACATTCTCAAGCGTTTCGGATCATATTCAGTTTTGTCTTTAGGGAGAGACATAATGTGAATTAAATGCTTCGTCATCTAGTTCGTGACGCGTACGAATAGATCAACAAGATTCTTACTGTACATATTTATTATCTGGCGAAGTAACAGCCAAGAAACTGCTGGGTAAAGCCAGACTGTTGTCAAGCTGAGCAGTGTCTCCTTTCCTCCTGATTGTATCAAGACTGTTCTCTTGGTTGTTGGTTCGCCAGATGATAAATAAGGACGGTAAGAATTTTGTTGATCCATTTATTAGCGTCATTAAGCAGACGACGAAGCATTTGTTTTACGTTATCTCTTCCTTGAAGTCAGATCGAGTATGATTCGAAACGTTTGAGAATGTGCGTATCGATAAGCTGTTTTATCCCATGAAGGGTATTTCTAGTTTTAAACTGAATTCCCGCATAAAATACTCAACCTTCGGTTTAACAGAAAATTTGCAGTTTTACATGCCACCGTCCATTTAGCCGGAGGATGACAGGACTGGGCCGTTTGAACCATGACCGTTTTTGTCCATGTTCCATCAAAAAGTTATTGATTAAACCCAATGCAACTGGGAAGTCAAATCAGTTAATGCAGACGTTACAAGTTATTCGCTGAATCTGTAATAAACCCAGAGGTCAGAGTTCAGCTATTCTAGTTTTCATCGATCTGCAAGTCTTGCCGCTGTAAATGCGTTCTCAGCTATTCTTAACATCTTAGATTATGTATTAGATTTCTGCTTTCTTGCTGCGATGAGAAAACGAATACTTGTCATACAGCAAGTTTCCTAAAGATCCCTGCATAGGATTACATTAAAATATTTTTGTTTAAAAATCGAATACACTCGAATATGTCTGGAATATAACCTATTAAACTTGAGGAATTATAGTTCGGAAACAGTGATATCGCCCGCTTAAATACAGCATTACTTGAATATATGGTTTAACAGACGTTGATGACGGATCTTGATTTCATATCTGAACGGTCGATGATCTGTGAGATGACTTAAAGCCTTATGACATTTGCAATAAGATATGAATAAAGACAGATGTATTAGTGTCTGATAAAGTGCTACGATAACAGGTTACTTGCTGTGTTTTATCTGCGTTATGTTTACTAAAAGCGCCCTAAAATGCCATCTCGTCATCTGGTTTATGTTCTAAAATGAATTTTATGCGGTTATTTGGTTCGATTATAGAAATAGTCATGCAGCAAGTGAAGTGATTATAATATCCTGAAAAATGAAAATATCTTCAATGTATATTTAATAAATTACAGAATTAGGCACTTGAGCGGACGGGACGTTTACACCATTGCGCTTAAGATGATTTATCAGAATTTTACGGTTTCACCTTCTGCTAATTAATTGCACTGGATAGTCAGCTACCGTATGGGTAAAGGCAAAGTATAGCTCAAGGGACGCTCGTATGGGACAGCATGGCCTTACAATTTGTCCATTCTTGCATGACCAGGACAGAATACCGTATTGTTCCTGTTGTTCGCAAGTCGACTTGCTACCCGTTTATCGACTGGTTGCACCGAAGCAACGTAGGATAAATTCACGGTGCAGACCAAGACCAGAGCTTCTAAGAATTCGAATTCAACACTTCTGAAGTTTGAAGTCGACCTCCTTGCCACCGTGCTACCGCGTCCGTAGATTTCGCCTAACACCACGCTGACAAAAGAACCCCGTCCGCATACTACCGTCCTATTTGCATATAACTTTATTAAATTTAAATATGCGTAGCTACTTATAACGCTTAATTAATTATACGTTTTATGAACTCAGCTTGCAGGACAGTCTTCTCGTTCTTTCTTTTAGTTTTGAGTTTGATCAGCACTTCCAAAACATTTCGCATGAGATT